TCGGTGGTAGGATGCAGTTGAGGCTTCTTGTTGACTTAGGGGCCCATGACACTTCCAGATGGGTAGTTCTCTAAATTAGGGTCCCTTTTCAGGTCCCCAGTATAGTACGGCACCCTTATAAAAGGGACCCTCAAACGGGACCCTAATTTGGAGAACTACCCACATTGCAGTCTGGGCCACCTCTCCAGATGTTCCAGGATGGCCTCAGGGCACACCACCGCCTCGGACTCGGACATCGCAGGCAGTGCTTTCAGTATTGTAGGTTATTGGGGTTAATGTGGAGACTACCTGGCTATATAAGGGGTATATAAGGACTATACAATGGATATTTAGGTAATGGGATTAAGGGTCCCTATTAGGGGTCCCTCCTACAGTCCTTAGATTCTCTTGTCAGCGAATTTTTCTGACCGCTACCTTTGGTACCCACGCAAAACTGTATTCGTGACAATAACAAGCAAAGCAGACACTGCCATTGCTGGCAAGGATGGCCATGAGATGCACCCGAACCAACCCGAAACATTCGCCCAAAAGCCAAGCCTAAACTCTGACCCTAGACCCTAAGCCCGAAACCCTGACCCCTAAACCCTCATTTAGATCTCTATTGCATGGACCTCGGCCGCAGTTCGCAGCGGGGGGCCTGGACAGAAGGCAAAGGCAGCAGGCAGTCAGAACGAAGGAACCCTCAACCCTTCAGGGCATCGGACGCTTTTGGCTATCGAGTGCTATAAGGTACTACAAGGTTACCACATGGGGGGGTACTATGATGTACGATAGAGCACCCTCAGACTTGACTCCTAGAGTGCATCCTACACCCAGCTAGACAGCTAGACCCTCGCTCTGGCCTGACGGGCACTCCTTCAGAAGGTCAATGGCATACCTCAGAGGAAGTCGTGACACATCGTGGCTCCTTTTGTGCTCCCTCCGTTTCATGTACTAGTACGATTTACATCGATACCTCAAAAGAGACCTGAGTTCGAACCATCCTCCGAATCCGCTATGCGACTCTGCAGTTTGAGGCAGCCGGGCTTCATATCGGATATCGAGACGAAGGAATCGATCAGTGTTTAGGGGCGTGCCTTCGGCCTTCCCGAAGCAGCTGGGGTTTAGGGTTGAGGGTTTAGGGTTAAAACCTTAAACCCGAAATATCAGACCTTTGATCCCCAAAACTCTGAACCCTGAATCCAAAGCAAAAACCTCCTAAATCCTAAGCGCCGGTGAAGGCTAAGCCCTCAAATCCTCAACCCTCCAAAAAGAACCTGGACTCCCTCCCTAAACCCTAGACCCTGGACCCTAGGCCCTAAGCCCTAAACCCCAAACCCTAAACCCTAGACCCTGCACCCTAGGCCCTAAGCCCTAGGCCCTAAACCCTAAACCCTAAACCCCAAACGCAAACCCTACATCTCCACGGCCAGCCCAGCACTCTCAGGGAGGAGCCATCCCTCCAAGCTGTGGTCCATGCCCTGGGTCTTCGGACTTAGGGAGTCTCGGCCTTGAAGCCCATGGGGCCCATGGGATCTTATAATGTCGGGGCCTTAATAGTTAGAATAGGGTTAATAGGCATGGGATGTTATAATATCGGGGCCTTAATAGTTAGAATAGGGTTAATAGGGTTTTGGGGTACATGAAAACTAGAATTAGAAGAAGGAGCCCCCAAAATAGTATGGGTCAGTTATTTTGGTGAAGGCCCCTATTGCTTTTCGAAAGTGCAGTGCCGTTCGCCCAGTGCCCAAACTGCAACACCCGAAAGTGATGAGAGGAAGATGCGGGAGGAAAGCGGTGGGTCTGGACTGTCAGAGGTCAGACTGGGAAGCCTGGAGGAAAATGAGCTCAAGCTCCTATGAAGCTATGAGTCAGTAGACCAAGGCTGATGGCCTCGATGCCCGAACCGTGGGTTTACGGACTAAGTTCCCTCATTCTTCAAGGCTGGGGAGGCATGGAAAGGTACACCTTGAGCTCAAAGCTGGCTGCCAATACCACCAGGCGTGACCGCTGCTCACGTTGCTGTCATTGCTTTCGTTTTCGGCCTCTTCGCCTGACGGTGCAGGATCCACTGCTTCAGAAGTTGCAAGAACAAGGGCGATTCGATGCTCGCCGGTTACGGCCTTCTTCATCGTCAGTCATGTTGTCTTCCTCCGACATGTTGTCTTCCGACATGTTGTCGCTTGCCATGATATCACCTTGGTGACGAGGACTCACGCGCACCGGTGCTGTTCTAAAACGGGGCGCGTCCACTGCCGCCACAGGTGCTGTCTTCGGAGGCATTAGGCATGTCTGAATCATCTGCTGCGAAGCTCGACCTCAGGAGCGGCGCACCATGGCTTCAAGCAGAAGGCATGCTGTCCGGACTTCCGAGGCCCTAGCAACCGCCTCAGCATCGCAGAGTCACTGGTGTCTTCCAGACCTGAACCCAAGCTACACATCAGAAGCACCAAGAGCAATCCATAGAATCACACAACCAAAACACAAGCGACGCAATGCTAGGCACTGCGGCCAGTGTTGTTTTCCATCTCGCTCTCGTTGAGACCGACGGGGAAGCAAGCCAGTCGTTTGACGCGCCTGACCACAAGTTTCGTGCGCACTTCGTCATGCGAAGTTTGCGACGAGGGCCCGAACCCAAAGAGCTCCAGCCATCGGCTGAGGTGTGCATGGAGCCAATCAAAAGGAGCCTGACGTGCCAGCGCCAGATCTGCCAAAGTCTTCAAACATTTCTGTATAGTATATATATATATATAATATAGTGCGTATACCATATACCTTTGTGTATACTGTGTTATGTATATATATATATATATATTTGTGTTTTTACATGTGCGTGTGTATGTCATCAAAGCATCCATCGGACAGAGGCCTCCGAGGTCTTTGCCCAGAACCGGCATTGCCTCGGCCGTGGCCACACAAGGGAAGGTTTCCTTCTTCGAACTTCGAAGCACCTGGAGTGTCAGAGAGCCAGAGATCTAAGGTGGCTGCAGCCTTTGCTGTCGCACTTCTTCCAGATGATATCCTGCAGGGCTGCGAACTAAGCATATTGCAGCCCGGAGTCAGGTAAATGAACGTGCTGGAGGAGGAGCAAACACTCGCTCTCGACACAGTAACCGCACTAGTTGTTTCCTTGCGGAACGCTGCTGCAACCGTGTAGGGGGCCATATATTGAGCTTAGGATGCTTCCGTCTAGTCGAGCGTGAAAATCGAAGCCCGAGTGACTCCAGTATCGCTTCACGACAACAGGAAGAAGAAAAACAGTATCAGGGTATTGCCGGTGTAGCCGTCCTCTGCTACTGAGACCCGAGGGAACTGCTGGGATGCGCTTCTAAACTGGAGCGGGGTCAGTTGCGACCCGCCAGACTGTGGCGAGAGGCATGGCCTTAAAGCCGAAGCTTGGGTAATCCGGCTCAATGAACACAGGCCCCCCTCAGTGTTGCACTCGTATTGAGGCTAACAGCTAGTCAGTGACGTTAGAATAAGACAACAAACTGATAACCAAAGACATGGCGACTTAAACCGAGACTGGCTTCCTTGGATCCAACCTCCTACTATATTGAACCGCCAAGACCACTGCCCCAGCTAACCGCGAACTCTAACACCGTAAACCCTAAAGTCTGCTTTCTTAAACCCTAGAAAGTTCCCTAAAGCCCGAAATCCTCTCTGTCAGAGGTCCAACTCCCTGAAACCTGCCCTTATCCTGGCTTAAATCTCTGAACCCTAGGCCCCGAAACCGACTGAATGGTTCATGGGCATCTACAAGCGGGCTCTTGGGTGGGATTTATACCAAGCTTTCAAACAAGCTTCCTCCGGCTCTGCTTAGCTACCTATGAAGCTTTGAATATTACCCTAGACCCTTCTAAACCGTTGTTGTCCTATAATGAACCCCTATGAACCCCGGCAACACTTTTGCGAAGCCCGTAGGGTGTAGGGTGGGTTTAGTGGGTTTAGGGTTTAGGGACCCTAAACCCTAAACCCTAAACCCACGAAACCTTCAACCAGACCCTAGAACTCAACCCGATGGTGTGAACGTGCATAGCCCCAAACCCTAGACCCCGAAAGCCCAAAAGCACTCCAAGATTGTAGAAGCCCTTGTAGCAATTGTAGCCATTCATACTAATATCTTAGAAGCCCTTATAGTAACCCTTGTAGAATTCTTGAGGCCTTGGTAGTAGCCATTGTTATATCATAGAAACCCTCATAGAAACCATGATCTAGGGGCCTTAATGATTTGAACGGGGTCTTGGGGCCCATTATACCATACTGATATTAAGGAACCCCCAACATGATGTAGGTAATGATTGAGGCCCAAAACCCTAAACCTCAAACCCATGAACCCTAAACCCTAAAACCCAACCCTAAACACCAAACCCAAAACCCCAAAACCCTAAACCCTAAACCCCAAAACCCTAAAACAAAAAAACAAATATATATATATATATATATGAGCCCGATACCTTTAGGGTCTATTTAACTAGTCTTTTTTATGTACAATATAAAACCCCTAGCTAAATACTACATATCTTCGTATATATGGGTAGTTCTCTAAATTAGGGTCCCTTTTGGGGGTCCTTATTATAATACGGCACCTATTATTTAGGGTACCCCAAAAGGGACCCTAATTTAGAAAACTACCCATATAACCCTAAGGGTCCATGTACCCAAATAGTATATACTTTGGCCTTAATGTAGTCCCTATAGGGACCCGAATTTAGAAAACTACCCATAACCCTAAACCCTAAACCCTAAACCCTAATATTACATTCGTTGAGGCCTTGGACCGAGGCCAGGAGCTCGGTGCCCTCGACGAAGACGCGCGGCGAGACGCGGATCGCGGAGGGGGCGACCTGAGAGGGCGAAGCTTTGGAGTCCTTAGAGGGGGGTTCTGGGTTTAGGGTTTAGGGTTTAGGGTTTAGGGTTTAGGTTTAGAGGGGGGTTCTGGGTTTAGGATTAGAGGGCTTTAGGGTCTTGGGGTTTTAGGGTTTTTTGGTTCTGGGTTTAGGATTAAAGGGCTTTAGGGTCTAAGGGTTTTAGGGTTTTAGGGTTCTGGGTTTAGGATTATAGGGCTTTAGGGTCTTAGGGTTTTAGGGTCTTTTGGTTTAGGGTTTAGGATTAGAGGGCTTTAGGGTTTGAGGGTTCTGGGTTTAGGATTGTAGGGCTTTAGGGTCTTAGGGCTTTGGGGTTCTGGGTTTAGGATGATAGGGCTTTAGGGTTTTAGGGTTTTAGGGTTTAGGATTATACGGCTTTAAGGCTTTAGGGCTTTAGGGTTTTAGGGCTCAGGGTTTAGGATTAGAGGGCTTTAGGGTTTTAGGGTTTAGGGATATAGGGCTTTGGGGCTTTAGGGTCTTAGGGCTTTAGGGTTCTAGGGACTAGGGTTCAGGGTTTAGGATTTAGGAAATAGGGATTCAGGGAGTTGGGAGTTTTCCGAAGGGGTAGGGTTATAGGGAGTGGGGACGCTGACCGTGGTGGAATTCGGAGATCAACTAGGTTTTGGGGTTTACGGATTTAAGGCTTGACTAAACCCTAAACCCTAAACGAAGTTAGTTGGGGTCTATGAGCTTAGGCCTTCGGGCTTGGCAGGGACTCAGTTTGCGTCTTGACAAGGACTTGGGCAGGCAGTGCATCAGCTCTTCCCTCAGATGCCGTGAGAGTGGCAGGGTTTCTAGGGTTCAGCCTTAAGTGGTTAAGTAGGGGACTTAATATTTAGAACAGTGTTTTGGTGTCCATTACACTATAATTATAGTAAGCAATCACGAAAATAGTCCCCTACATCAGGTTAGGAGCTTCTCAGGTTACCTGTAAACTCTTGGGGGGTCTCGTTCAGGGGCTGAAAGCTGTTAGGGTGTATCGTTGATGGTCTGTTGAGCTGAACAGCCGAACAGCCTAAAGTGTCCCCTCAACTGCTTTGGGCCTATAGGACTTGCCTTAGTTTTTGTTTGGGCCCAGGATGTCTTAAGGGGCTTGGGCCGTAGACTCACGGCTACCGGGCCCCCAGGCATGTGTTTTGGGGCTTACAGGGCTTGGAGTTGAGAACCCTAAACCCTGATTACGCACTAATCCCGAAACCGTAAACCCTATGACTATACCCGAACCCCTAAACCGTAAATCGTATAAACCCTAAACCCCGAAGTTCGCTGTGATAACTGGATCGAGGAAAGCACGAAGAAGTGCAGGGAGCTGGTGACGAGGAGCTCTGTGAGGCCATCCACGACCTCGAAGATTTTTTGTTTTATTTTACTGTTTTTTTGGGGGGTGAGCTTTTAAGTTTGTTGGGGTTTTGGGTTTTGGGAAGATGTCCTTTTTGGGAGGACTTACATGGTTGAGGGGCTTCAGCATGCAGGGGTTTTCAGGCTCAAGGGCTTCGAGCTTTCAGCATCTCTGCGGACAGCAAGGACTACCGAGGTGGCCGTAATAACTAGGAACTAGTCCCCCTTGCAGCACAAATATATAATGACTCCATAAATCTCTGTAGTCGTCAAACTATTGATTAGGGCTCCCATGTACGGCTCTCCTGAGCTAGCGGCGAGGTGCACGGAAGTGGATCCTGGATCCTGGACGCTCGCTGACGCTAGTTTTAGGATGTCGCTTTTAAGGGGGTTGGGTATAGAGTAGCTTCGGTCACTGCACGCATCTCAAAACATAACTCTTCGAACCGAAGGGGAGATCAACCCAGTTACGTGACGGTGGAGCCATCGATGTGCCATATTGATAAGTTGCTGATTGCTGGCGGAATCTTCGCAACGGTGCTGCTGTTCAGTGTAACTGCCGTCGCCTGTGCTGGAACTTCGCATTCCAGCCGCTCGTTGCCATCTGCGTGAGGCCTCAGCAATCAAGATGCTCAAAAAAAATGATGTTTTGGCGTGGCGTCGTAGTCTACCCCAAGCTCTATACATACGCTGTAAGACAAGGGCCGGCTGATCAGCATTGCATCCGTGATGATTGCGCCGGTTCCTGGTCATGCCGATGCGGCCGACGACCAGCACATTTACGATGTGATGCCCCTGCTGCTCGACAGCATACTCGTCACACAACCGGATGCAATGCAAGAGGGGCTTCTGGAAGACCAGCGACCCTGAGCTCCAAATGCGCAAAGACCATAGAGACCCTCAGCCCCAAAGTCCGGGCCCGTGTTCCGATCATGTCATGACGCAAAAATGAGCCGCTGCAAAGCTGTTGCGACAAGAGGTTATTGGTATGGAGGGGAAGGCCGGCTCGATTCGGAGTTGCTTTGGGGCAGTCCTTCCTATTGTGACAACCCCAACTGACAGCCGCTCTCGCTAGTGTGCAAGTATGACTCCATGCTCAATTTCAGCACCCACTACAAAACTCAGGAAGATACGGTGACATCTAAGCCCCAAATCCCGCAGTCATGAACGCAACGGAGCCCGCTCAAAGAAGCCACAAACACTTGGCAGTTTCCGAAAATAGGGGACCCTAAGATGGTACCCTAAATAACAGGATCCTTATT